AAAGAAAGAAAGAAAGAAAGAAAGAAAGAAAGAAAGAAAGAAAGAAAATAATAAATTTAAACTTTTAAAAATTAAATCAAGTCAGTCTGCACAATGCTATCATCTCAGAAAATTTAAGAAAAAGGCCAAATATTCTTCTAAGAAAACATAAAAGGTAATTTTAACTAAATATAACAAAGCTGAAATATAATATCTTTTCTTATTTGGAAACAGAAAAATCCATTATTAGTAATTGCATAAGAAATCATAAGTCTGGGCTCAATAAGAAAAGCATGTGCTGAACAAATATGAGAACCCAAGCCCAATTCCCAGAGCCCATGTAAAAATGTGGGTATGGTGGCTTGTGCACATCATAAAGGGACTCACAGGGGACATCTTTTGGGCTTCCTAGCCAGCCAGCTTAGCCTACTTGGTAACATTATGAAAGAACTCTTTTCAAAAAGAAAAAAGAAAGAAGGAAAAAAAGAAAGAAAGAAAGAAAGAAAGAAAGAAAGAAAGAAAGAAAGAAAGAAAGAAAGGAAAAGTAAAAGAAAAGAAAAGAAAAGAAATGAAACAAGATGAACAGCAGCTGAGGACTAACATCTACATTTGTGTTCTGGTTTCCACATTCTTGTGTACATACATGAACACAAACCCTAACACACATATGAACCTTCATATACACAGACACACATATAAAGGTTATGCAGGTCTAAAATCAAATTACTACACTATAGCGGGTATTAGATGAAAGAGAACAGAAATGTACAAATAACATAAAAAGGGCATGCTATATATAACAAATACATAAAGGGTATATAATAAAAATATGGTTTATAAATTTCCCTTGAAATAGCCTTGAACTCATTACATACCCAGATTGGCCTGGGTTTTGTTTGTTTGTTTGCTTGCCTGTGTATTTCTTTTGGCATAATACCTGGAAACTCAACATGTGAATGGCATGAAACAAAACATTCAGTGTTGTACATGTCCTTGTAAATTCTGCGAGGCGCTACACACAGTTCTCTGAAACACAGCCATGCACTTCAGAAAGCAGAGCCCAACAGAGGAATGAGCCAGTGAGGCAGAGAACTGATGTAAAGTCAAGAATATGAAGAGTAATAAACAAGGATTTTCAGAAAATGCAGAACTACAGTCAGTCCTTTGGTTACATAAGGAAAGTCTGAACGAAAAAGATGTGCCTCCTAATGCTTTGAAATTACAAGTGACATCAGCATTATTTTTACACTGAGTTTAGGTCCCTTTAATAGTTGACTCAGAAGTATGAGCCTCTGCCAGTGTCTTCACTGTGTCTGCAAAGTTTGATAAAGAGTATAACTTTCCTTAATTTACACAAATTTCAAGGCTTTGCCAAATGATTTCTTCAAAAATGTACATTAAATAGGATTATATGCATTGGCACACAGAAATGCTTGTGAGACGCTCCAGGCAGTCTCCAATTTAAAAACTGATTGCTTTCCAAAAATGAATTTGAAACGTGTTTAAACGGGAGGAATCTTCTTGTGGAAATAAATGACAGATATTTTCCTGACAGCAAGGCGGGATCATGATATATCTAAATCATAGTTCTAGTCGCAAAGCCTAAATTCTGGGTCTGGGAGAAAGAACCTGCTTGGCAGAGTGGGAGGAAAGGGAACGCAGAGGTTTGCTTCTCTTTCCTGATGCCTTATTCCCATTAGGATGCTATAACAAGATACCGTTCGCTGAGTGGCCTGTGAAGACAGAAAGTTATCTCTGACAGTTAGGGAGGCTGGAAGTCCAAGCAGAAGGTGCAGGCAGACGCACTGTCTTAGGAGTTACTGACGTGTAGTCAACCATCTGCTTTTGGGATTATTTCTGTTTGGGGTATTGTCTTGCTGTACAGCCCTTGAATTCTCCACGTATCCCAGGTTGGCCTCAAAGTCACTCTGTGCTCTAGACCCCTGCGTGTTGGGGTTACAGGTATGTACCACCACACCCAACTGCGATACAATACCATTAACTGTATAGGTCTCATGATGCCATTTGATCTATAGATTTATCCAGCCTGCTTCGCTATAAATTTGCACACTCTGACCATTCCTGTTTACTTCCCTAATAACCATGACTTTACTCTCTTATTTATTTGATGTTTTATAAAATATCCCACACTAAGTGAATAAAGTATTTTTTGTGGTTGTTATTGTTGTTGCCTTTGGTCCCAGATATATTCCGCCTAACACAATGTCTTCCATGTTCCTTTGAGTTACCACAAATGGAGAAATATTATTTCTACCATGCATTTACCATCCGTCTGTCAACAGATGTTTGGGCAGACTTGTGGTATTGCCCTTGTGTAAAATTCCAGAATGGACTTGGATGCCTCTTTCACAAGCAGATTTCATTAGTTTTGGGTACATTCTCTGCAGAGGATTGCTGGGTCACCTGGATGTTCCAGTGTTGGTGTTTTGAGAAACCTCAATATCACTCTCCATAAAAACTGCACATCTTTGCATGTTCACCGCTCAGGTACAGGGTTCCTTATTTTCCATACGCCGACACTTTATTTTTTTAAGATATATGTCTGTATTAAGGAAGGTACATGCACAACATTACAGGTGCCTACAGAGGTCAGAAGAGGACATTGGGTCCTCCAGAGCTTGAGTTACAGGTGGTTGTGAGATGTGGGTGCTGGGAACCGAACTTGGGTCCTCTGGAAGTGAGATATGGACTGGCATACTTAAAGACTTACATTAGGTCCACCAACTCCGCAGTCGTAACATCCAGCAGAAGCGGAAGCAGCATATCGGAGGTACATTTGCAGTCAGTTTATCCTGCCTCTTAGCAATTTTCTTATTGGCCAGGAGGGTATCAGTAACTGAAGTTTCTCTAATCGCTGCTCCTTCTGGCTTTTGGCAGATTAGATTGTCATTCGGAAAATAAAATGATGGAGCTGGAGAGGTGGCTCAATTGGCTTCTCTTCCAAAAGACCTGGGTTTGATTCCCAAAACCTCATGCCATCTCACAACCCCAGGCTCACAACCATCTGTAACTCCAGTGTCAGGGTCCAACACCCTCTTCTGGCCTCTGTAGGCCCCAGGCACACATGCGCCGCGCAGACACACACACAGGCGCAAACTACACATAAAACAAATGATCTTCTCCAAAAGCAAAGAATCGATAGGTTGTCTGGTAAGTGCGAGTGGCAGTAAGAGCCCTGGAGTGTGCAGATGGCTCGAGTCCTTGTGGCTCTTCACTCTTATCCCCGTGCCAGCTCTGAATCAGCTTTTAAATATCTGGACATCAGATTGCTTTCCTTTTTTTGTCTTGCCTTTAAGTTGTTCAGCCCAATCTGGCTAAACACCCATCATTTCCTTTAACCGACTTGTTTTGTTTGAAGAGGTACCCTATGCCACTGCCCCGGTCTCATTGTGAAGTCTGGCGCACACAGAGAGGACGCACGGAGGACGCTGTCCTCCTTCCGTGCTGCTGTGCTTGGGTCGAGAGGCAGCAGGAGAGGAGCAGGGATGGCGGCAGAAGGGCTTAGCGCAACGTGAATCCCCGAAGCTGTTGATGCCCGCTCAGCTGGAGGACTGAGCCCATCCTCTGCCCCCATCCTCTGTCTTCAGCACTGTGGAGTGAGAAGACAGCGTAACTGGTAGGAACTTAACCTTAGCTGTAGTTTCCTTCCTCAATTCTCAGTCCTGAGTCCTTGAGACAAAATTGGGATTTGAAAAGATACCCCAACTCCTCCCTTTGCCAATGCCCCTGGCTGCACTGCCCTTCATTAGCCGAGTTCACACATATTCTTCCCAACCCCTTTTTTGTTATTTTTATCTTAATTTTATGTATCTTAACTTTTCAAATTTTTCGTAAGTATGATTTTTATTCTACAAGGATGATTTTGTTTTTCTTCCACATGTTTGTAATGAATGGATTATAAAACATCTTGAATCAAGTTTCAAAAAAAAGTCTGAATTGTCTGATCAAGCAGGAGGATATACCTTCAGGCTAATGCATGCATTAGCAGCCATCTTGGCAGTGGGCAGTGTGCCAGTCTCATAAACTTATACATCATCTATACATCAAAAATTCTCATTTAAAAAAGAAAAAAAAAACAAGGATACAAATAAGGTCTTGGGACTTGAGTGAATGAGGTAGTTTAGGCTTTTCCTTGTGAGCTATGAAGAAAGAAGCTGCAGGGCTGGGAATGTAGCTGAGAGGCAGAGCACTTGCCTTGAAAGCACAAGGCACCATGTTCAATCCCTAACAGCACCAAAATGAAGTAAGTTAGAGTAAATACTGCAGTGCTAGCCAAGCCCATCTGTTCTTCAGCTGTTTAAGTAAAACTAGGACAAATCCCACTAGATTTTAACGCATTCCTAAGCATTTACTTTCTTTGGATATGTTCTAGGCATGTATGTTATGTTATAGGATATGGGCAGCCCAACATGCCTAGGTCATATGCTTCACTTTGTCTCTGACATGAACATGACAGGGTTTAAAGGCCAGCAGGATTCTATTCGACCAAAGCATTCATGAGCATCCCCTGTTCAACAAAGGTTCCAGAGAAAAGCAAATGACATCAGCAGATTGCCTAGTATTGGCCTTAGTTTTTGTATTACTGCAAAATACTCGAGGCTGGGTGCTTTATAAAGATATGTGGGTCGTTTGGGCTTATAGTTTTGAGGGCAGGAAAGCTGGAGTGCATGGAGCCAGAATTTTTCTCACCACATACTGAAGTCCTCAGACTGAGTGGCAGAATGCAGAGAAGCGCGTGAACACGGAGAGACAGCATGTGTGGGAAAGGGAGAGAGGACAAGCTGACCACTTCCTTACTGCCCACATTCTTGATAACTAGTCCAGTCCTGTAGACCTAACTTCCACCTTCGAGAGCTTATCCAACCCGGAAAGAACTAGCTGAGTCTGTTGATAAACACAGCCATCTGTTCATCAGAGAG